AAGCAATTTAAGTTCACAATACCTAACTATAATGTGCAACGATTTTTTATTATTATTTTAAAAATGAACATAACCATAACTTCAGAATATTCCGAGGAATCTCAATATATTAAGGAGCTTTATGAACTAAACTTTGGGTAAATTACTTACTGAGAATTAAGTTCGGCTCATAACTTTCGGTTGAACATAGTGCACATCATATCACAGGAAAGTATCCTATTAACTTTATTGAAATTAAAACATTCGCTATGAAACCGAATTAACCTTCGATATTAGACTGTATAACGAAACCCATTTGCTATGATGATAAAGCAACCCAAATAGAGTAGGTTATTAAGTAACTGCTTCATAAACCTTAAAAAGGCTCCTAAAAAACCTTGGTATTCTGATGTTATATTAATATGGATAAAAGCTTAGGCAAGCAGCTATCATCATCTAAATGACAAGGATGTTTCAGATGCAAATGTATTATAATTTATTTTAATAATACATTTAGGTCTCATCCGTCCCTTACCGTTTACACTTTTTCTAACTTAAAAAATTTGTAGGTTTTTTTTTTCTAACACGATATTGAATAATAAAATAATATCCTTTAGTTGCCCCAAACTTCATAAATAACACACACGATGATGTATGAGTGTGTGTCATTTATGTATGCATATGTTTATTTTACAATAAGTTTGCCACTGCATTGTTACGAATCAAGAAAATGTGCTGTCGTTTATCCTATCTTCTTTTATTCTTGATCATTGTTTAATTTGTCAGCAGGAGATCTTTAGACCTTTTTGACGTATGGGTTTGGATGATTGAAAGTTTTTTTTTTTTTAATTTAATTATAATAGAATCAGCCATTGTAGAAGGGCTATAAGCATTAAGGCTAAAAGTTATCATTCATACAATATATACAAATAATAGAAAAATAAACAAATAAAATAAAATAAAAACTTCGAAACACATTCATACCTACATACAATATATGCATTCGCCCAGGAATCTTCGAGCCAGGCTTTTTCCCTCACATGTGGAAGGCAAAGCAGTACTCCAAGAGATCCCAGTGCCACTTTTCCAGCCGCATCACTAGTATTCGTGATTGAGAGTAAAAGAATGAAATGTTGTGTATGTAGAATTTTATTTTTTGTGTGTGTGTGGTTTTAATTTTGTTTATGTGTATGTGTTTTGCGGAACCCCAGATATGTATTAACCTGATGTCCAAATAGGTGTTTTATTCTAGTCGCTCGTTTTGTAAGTTGAATGAGTGGAGATCTCTAGTCCAAAAGATATGAAAGCTGTTTGTATAGTCTGGTCAGTTCTTGTGTATTTTCCAATTGAGTCTTGTGTCCAAGTATAGTCGGAGATGCCATACATGATTTTTATTTTACTTGCATATATAAATTCTTTTTTCGGTTATCTAAAATTCATGTCCATCTTTGATTATGATACATGTACCGTACTTTTACAGACATATATTGCTTATAAAATCATGGAGAGTTTAAAGGGTGAGATCCTAATATAATGTTGCTACTGATCGTGGTTTCCATGCTGTGGCCTTCCCACTGACTCGGGCGATTTCAAGATCAGTGACAAATTGGTCTATATCCATGGATAATAGCTGTTCAGAGTCCGCAGGCATACGAGGAACTTCTCCTTAAACATGCGTTCTATGTAACAGACCTCTTTGGGCTACTTATATACTAAAACTACTTTACAATTTCCGATTGGGTTTCCAGAGTAGTGTAATAATTTCCAACCCTGCTTGCTTAACAATGAATCTCCTACTGGTACACACAGCTTAACTTGCTCAATAATAATGGGCCAAATTTCACTAAATTATTAGTGCCTTTTTTATTTTACAGGCCTTGAAGATCACTTGTCGCTTTATCCATTCTACTTATCTTTAGCTAACTTTTACTGTTGCCTTCCATTCACCTATTTGCAGCTCTGCAGCTTCTTCGTTGATTCTATCTATCTGAATTAAACGTTTTCCGTTGTCTCTTGGCTACCATTGAGCCATTTATTATTGTGTAGAGCCAACATCAAGAATTGTTTTGCTATGAGATCGCTACGGTTATCGCGCGGAGGCTAAAGCAACAACCAGTAGAAACCAGGAGTTCTTATGAAATAAGGATCTCACAAATTTTAGAAAGTGAATAATTTCAAATACATGTTGGAGGTTATTAACGCTTCTAATGATATATTGTTATATATCCTCTTGTTATTAATACCTCTTAATATTAATAAGAGCTTGCTGAGGTTTGTTTAGACATTGTACAACTCCTTAAAGTGCCAATTACAACTCCTGAATGAATGGATACAGCTCCTAAAATATGCTGTCGTACAAAGAAGCCTCAAAAATGTTTTGACACCCAGACACACACCCGTTGATCATTCATTGTTTCTTATGTTTTGTCGTGGTATCTAAGAACAGGTTGATTTTTAGGACGATAGGAGTAAACCATTACCATCTGATTTAAAAAAAAAAAAATGAGTTCTACCCATTGGGTGGATCCATAAGTTCGTTCGGTTTTTGTTAGTAGTAAGAATTATTTTAAAATATCTCCAGTTCTCTTTGCCTTATCTGGCAATAATTATACTTATCGGAAAGGTTAAAGTCCGCTCTTCGAATCTGTTATATGTCATTGGAGTTAGTTTTTTTTGTACTACAACACAGTGAATATGTCAAATGACTAAGTGGATTTTCGGCATTTTTTGCATTTTTATTTTAAAAACGGCCAGCGACCTTCGGAGGTTTATCAAAAGATATGTAAGATATACGGGGGTGATGCCTTAACAGAACGCACGACTCAAAAATGGTTTCATTCTAGATGTGCATTATGTGTTTGACTTCTAATAAATATTATTAAATATGTATTAACAAAGTTATGTTTAGAAAATATACGTATGAGAAAAAAATCTTATTAATTTATTGTATTTCGAAACAAAATTTAACTATTATTATATAATCGTGTAGGTTCTGCTTATACATTGTTGGTCGTAAAATAATAACATTTCAGTAAAATTATTGAATCGGGAGGGGAAGCCTGCATGCGAAGGGCGAAGGTACAAATATAAGGTACCCGGGGATTGTTGAGAAAACAGGAACAACAATAGGTGGGATTTGAATAAGGAAAGAGATGAAGCGTGGCGAATAAAAAGGTAAGGAGTTTCAGGAGGGGTCGGGGATGTGAAAGGATCTTACTTTATGCTCTGGAGCTATTGGGATGTATGCGCTGGAGGGCGAGTACCCTTCTGAGGGCAAAATAATGACAAGCAACTCGACCCAGTATATTGGCTATAAATAGAGAATCTATTGTTTCCTCTAATATAATTATTTCAATAAAAATATTGTTGAGTATCGTTTCAAAATTATTTCATCATAAGGATAGTCTTACCGTTCCTGTACTCCCACCTAGTTGGCTTGTTAAAGATGGGCCAATTATCTTCCTATCTCTATATCTTGTGGTACACTCAAAGAAAGTATTTAATTTTTTATTCAATGGTTTCTACTTGGCTTGATGTGTTGGCAGGATAACTCTTAATGTTCCTTGTCCTCCTACTATGTATTAATTTACTCTAATTAGCTAATATTTCCTATCAGCACATTGGATTCGTGTTCATAATATTTTCTTGAGTTTTTAAACTTTAACCAACGGTGATTTTACTAACTAATTTAGAACAATATTAATTACATTGTTTAAACACCTATTTTATTATATTTGTGTGAACGAAGAAATGAAAAATAAAAATATTCCATGAATGTGTAAAACATATGTTTATAACCTTAAATACATTTACTGAAGTCAGTATTTGACCAATCGAAGCTGTATTCCAAAGGAACTATCTGTATTTTGGTAAATTTTCCAATGGTAGAAAATAAGAATTTCAACAAATGTAAAAAGTGATAGAGATTTAATGACTATAATTTTTATTATAGCATAATTTTGGAGTAAGGAAGGTTGGCTGACCTCGGTTCCGATGGAAAGACGATATTGCTACTGATGGAGTATAGAGATTTGTCATTCGCAACTGGAAGACAACAGCATAAAACTGGTGACGGTGTAGCTCAGTGATTTAGGCATTGGGTTGCTAAGTTCAAGATCCTGGGTTCGAATCCGACTGATGTCAAGTAATTTTTCGGGCGGGGTGGCCGAATGGGCTAACGCGTTTTATTTGCCCGGCAACCGGATATATGATTCTATGATATGAAAATAGTCACGAGTTCGCGTCCCGGCCCCAGAGGGGATTTCAAATTCCCCGCCCTCACCCTCTGGTCCGGGAAAATCCCGTATAGCCTAAAAGGCGAGGTAGGGAAGAACAGGAAAAAAACAAACAAAAAAACAAAACAGCATAAAACAGAGATGACTGGCGGCCAATGCTGGGTGCAGTACAACACTAAGCATTTGGGTCGTAGAGCCGTATGTTTTTTAGTATGTAGTAGGATCCTTACTTATTCATAATTAAATATATAAAATTTCAAATCTCTCTCTGTATACAGAGCTTAGAGACTGGAGTTATGGGATTCAAATGGACTGATGCAGTTATGATATTTTGATTGGCCACAATCCATTTTATAAATAGAGTTTGTAATATTTTGATGGTATTAATGAGTTTTACATTGATGAATATGACCGAAATTCGAAAATATGTTCTTTAACGTATAGCTCCAGTAAAAATACGCTTCAATACCTTCTTACAATAGTCCGATTTTTCTAGACAAGAATTGCATTTAGAAGTAGAGCGATAAATGAAAGTTATGTGATGTGCGCACCAGATTTTTTTTTTATTTTTACCATATGTTATTTAATGTCACTTCAAGTTCCATGGCTATTAGAGACATCTGTTCTTCTTAAATATAATGAGTTAATTTTATGTACATGGGTACTGTTTCTGTACCTGTATTTCCTTTGTATGGAATCGAGTTTTAATTTTTTAGCTTTATTTGTTATTTTTGTATTTGAACCTACATTAGAATAGCTATTGCACAGTGAGAAGTGCATTCTCAGATGTTTGGAATCTTGGACTGTGTAGCCCTTGAAGCAGGTGGAGATGGTTCAAATTGGTATGTCTATCTGTTAGCCTGCTAATTATTGAACATTCCTTTGATGTGAGGCATTCCGGAGGTATCCAGGCATGATTATCTACTCAAGAGAACTCAGTACTACAATAACAGGCTTTATGGAAAATGTAACATCATTATATATAGCTTATTTATTTTTCTACCAGAAGAATTATCTACCAGTGACGTTCGTGATAGGAGATAAGCATTGGGATCACCTCGAGTCTAATTTTAGCCTTCTACATGTGCAGCAGACAAGACTTGGTTAGGAGTTCTCTGGGGAAATGTAAATATTGTACCTACGGATTTGCTTATGAAGGTAGGTAGAGAATTCCAAAACAAGGTAGAACGTATTACAAAGCATTATTAAAGAAAACAGTTATATGAGAACGAATACACAGACATGTGGGTTGGGATCTTGGATTTAACAACTGGGATAGAAAAAAGTAATAAACAAATAAAGAAGTTAAGAAGGATTTTGTGTTGTAAATGTTCGGAAAAGTAATACATCTAGGAAAGATTGCCTTCGGAAAACTTCATTGAGCTATTTCAACTCGACATACTGACTAGACTACAGAATCTTCTTGTGGGAACGCCTGGAGAATCCAAATATGAATTTTATGAAACAACTCATTAGTCTCTTCAATCGCATCTCAAGCCCCTTAGACAGTTCACCGTATACAAGGTAGACATAACGGAAGTGAGGAAAATAAGAGAGGAAACGAACGATCAGACGAATTTTAATGGGCATAGAATCGCGGAATATCGGGAACTGTTTGAGGATAGCAATATATTTTCGGATAATTTGGAAAATATGATTATTCCAGAACAGGCAATCTAAAATACACCAAGACAAACGTGTAGGTAGAGTAGACGATAATAACGAATGTAATTACTAAGATTTTTGGAACCAATAAGAATGGGATTTTTCTTCTCAAAGTTCTATCACAAATCAATTCTCGCTGCCCAAGACTTAATACTGTTTATATCATTTCAAATCCTTGTATTGGCTCTAGAATCTCGGTAGAATGGAAGGAAAGGTAGATTTAAACATTTTCAGACTATAAGTGATATTGTGAATGATGATGGAATCAGGAAAGTCGTTATGGTATTGTGATATGCTGTTTCCATAGGTTTGATTACAAAGACGGAGCAAAATGTTCCTTTAAAAAAAGTCATAGTTGACTGACAATTTTCGATTATGAGGACAAAAACATTCAAACCTCTTGCATGAATAAGAATCTTGAGTATTGAGGATATAAAATAATTCAAGACTCCTTATTATAACATATTGACTACATTTTTTTATCCACATTAATGAATATGTTCATCTTAACTTAGTAACTGTTTCTTGGTTCATTATTCTGCAGCAGCTCTTAGAGGTAAATTTATTACTACCTCATGCTACACAGATACTACATCTGCCATTTTTTTGTACTACTTTCATTCTGAATGAAAATACTTGGCAGTGAATTTAAGAGGGGACGCAGCAGACGGCTGAACGACAAGACTTAGGTAAAAATAGCTAACCTTGTGAAGACGGAGACATTGAATGGGGAGCGCAAAATTAGCATGCAAGGGTTCGCTAAAAGGGTTGCGTATCCGCATGCAGAAAATGGTAAGGTCTGGCCAAGTGTTAATGGTGATAAAATTATACATCCTTCTAAGCAGAGTCACACCTACATTTGTGGGTTCTGTTGTTCATGAAAAATTATTGATCAAGTTCGAAGAGAGGTTCTTTACTATAATAGTGACCGTAATAACTCTTTATAAAATATATTTACTAAATATTACAGTTTTCTAAATAAAAACATATATGACAGGGACGAATTCATTACTTTTCCTTGCTCGATCACAGTGGCTCATTCAGAATAATCTGCCAAAACATGATACACATTTCAATTACTTTTATTTTTGATAAAATTGCTCCGATTTCATTTTTTTTTTTTAATGTTTCGTAAAGAATTTGATTATCACTGATATAATCAACCAATCGCTATATAATTTTTGCACAAATAACGTTTCCTCTTCTTCATAACTTTTTATCCTTACTTTTCTGGTGGGTGTGAATATTTTCACACCTGAAGAAGATGATAATTTTCTTAATCATGGCTCAATCATACATTAGATATGATATATGTGTTAAACAGAGATATAAAACTAAAGTTGTAGTTATATCTTAATATCTAATTTCTGAAATATGAACTTTTCTATGGACCAAGACAAACTAATGTAATGGAAAACAAATTTGACTTCAATAGTATTAACAAAAAATTACCGATATCCTACCGATACTATAGGAACTGAAAATTCAATTCCCATCGTAACTAAAGAGAGATGGTTGTCTACTTCAACTTCCTTCATCTCTAAACTGTCTAAAATACACGAAATCAGACTTGACTGTTTCTTTCTACGTCTTGTTCTTCTACATTAATAAATTTTTTAGTGGTTTTTTATTATATCACTGTTATTAACATATAATATGCGTTATACTAGTATACAATATGTATAAAATTACATTAGTGTATAATATATTATATTACTATATAATAAATATTACTTTGTATGCACATTTAAAAAAAAAGGCTCAAGGGATAATGTATTGTCGTTTAGGTCTGTGAGTTTATCTTTAAATTGAGAGAATATTTTTTGTAATTTGACTCTATTCATATAATACCTATTACATTTTCATCTCTTCAATGTTAGTTCCGGATCATATTTCCAATAAGTTACATAGCTAAATTTAATTTAAATGTATTTTCAGTTTTCAAGCTTCCACTAAAACCTTATCCATCATTTAATACTATCCTTCCTCATGCCTATAATGCCAATCCTCGTCATGACAATACATCTGCTGATTGTCAATACCATGACAATTACGGATAGATAGTAAAAGAGAAAAAAAAAATTGTAAGTACAAAAGGAAGAAAAGTGTTTTCAGTAACATATTGAACCTAATACTACATTTTCACTTTCATAAGAAAGTTATGTGTGTTTATATAAATATATATTTTTTCAGTCAGCTCTACAGACCTTGTAGATCTTTGCCGCCTGAACCAGCCTTCTCCGCCTCTGTCTATCTTGGGCTACTGTTTTCCAGCTTGCGGCATGAAGCTCAGCCGTATCTTTGTTTATCCTATCTATTCATCTGGTTTTTAGCCTCCCACGTGGTCTCTTGCCTACTACTCTGGTCTTCAATATATATGTATGTATATATGCATTCGACGAGTGAAAAACTCGAAAGTTGGAGATTTTGCTAAAGTTTGAGAATTTACGTTTGTAAAACAGAAGGGTTATTGTAGAGCAAGTTGATGATAAGTTGGCGATTGGGATCAAAACATGAAAGAATCAGATCCGATTTCTTGATAATTAAGTAACAAAACTGTTAATTAGATTATTTAAAAAACTTGAATATAGATTTGGTTGATTTGGTAGTCCGCCCAAGGTTGGTAATATCTTCTTGGAGTGTGTTTAATCTGTGTTCTATTCTGAAAGTTTTTGACTGAAATATTTGCAGTTTGCATATGTGGGTCCTTCGGCTGTTTCTTATATCGGTGAAGCATAGGCTGAAATGAGCTGGAATGAATGGAAGTATTCGGTTGTTGAAAAAAGTATTGTGTGGTTTATATACTATGGGCCCCTTGTTATTTTTCCATCAAATGTTAGTTTAAGGCCTTTCACACTGAAGATGCAAGACGCAAGATGCATGCATCTTAAACACTGAACAGTGTTTAAGACGCACGTGGATCTTGGGAACCAGCCGGCGGGAGATTTTCAGGGTACAACTTTGTTGTGCTGGTCTTGCATACTCATCTCTTCCACCTCGGCCCGCCCGACGCAAAATATTTTTGAAGATCAATCATCGGGTCTCGTCGGCTTTCACCGCCAACGCTCGGTCTTCCCTCTCTCTCCCTTCTCAATTTTCTCTAAGATCTTGTGATTGACGCCTCTATCAATTGCATTTTATTTTCAAGTATTTTTTTTTTTTATCTATTGTTTATTTTTTTTAACTAAAGTCTTTTTTTATCTATTGCTCTAATTTTCATGTATTACTCCATGTGTTTTACCTGTTTTTCTTGTTATTACCATGGAAGATTAAAAATTGGATGCCAAAATTGCAATAAATAGTTAGTAATAAAAGTAATCAAAATATAAATAAAGTTAATCGTATTATAAAATTTATCAACCGTTTGTGTTCATTACTTCGTATATCATCAGACGCAGGAAGCATGCATCTTAAACACTGAACAGTGTAATAGAACAAAAGCTGCAAGGTCCTACCTCATCCATTATAAGGCTTTCTAGTTGATTAATATTTACTAAGAACCGCGAGGAGCTAGAATCTAGTGACTCGCCCGACTCTCACAGTTTCATTTCATACTGCAATTAGGAATTGTGTCCCAAGTAAGAAACTTCCATTCTTCAACTATGTTACCAGAGACAGAGAACTTCAATGTGATCTTTGGTAAAGAAATATTCAAATAGAGATGAACAAGCGAAATCATGGAAGGCTCTGGGACAAAAATTCGAATCAAAACGTAAGAGAACAATCTAATTTTAATTTATTTGGGTCAGCGAAAAAAAAAATATTATTTCAATATCAATTACTATTAAAGTTATAATTTCATCGTCTGAAGAGCCAGATGATGATTATTCATCTTTCAAACTCACGTACCAAACTAACAGAGATAATGGCTCTTTTACCTAGATGCAAGACGCACGTGCATCCTGCATCCAGGACGCATGCATCTTGCGTCTTGCATCTTTAGTGTGAAAGATGCCTGAAGATTTTGCACTTTGTTTGTTTAAGTAATTTGGACATTGTCGATATAAATAGATGAGCAAATTTAATTTCGATGAGTGGAATCAATCTGTTGGGATTTCGTAGTTGATAGGAAAAGTTATTTAAGTAAATAAAAAGGTCTATTAGACAGATGTGTGCCTAGCGCGCGGTCCCGCTTGCGGACTCTTACACTCCACTCCTGGGCGGGCCATACACTTCCTCCTAGACGGAAGGCTAGATACCGGGGCCCTGACCATTGCACTGATTGCCCCCAGCCTGCACTAACTGAGGCCGAGTTGAGGCGAGCATCAATAAGCGATTATCGCGGACGGTCGGAGACTGCGCGGTTGCGGCCTCGGAGGGGCCACTCTGTCGCTGGCGCTCAGTCAGGCAGCTGCTCCACTCCGCCGGGCTCACGTCGCGTGTCGTGAACGTGTCTGTCGTGTTTTATCGTCGCAATTTTTTCTTCCTCATCTTCCTTCCCGTATCTTCCTCTGCGATTTTAAGGTACAGTTTTATAATATTCTCGTATTAAATTGCATTCAATAATATGCGCATGTTAACAATTGTTTTCCCAGGCGTCCAAAACAAAAAAAAAAAATTTAATAACTATTTTCACACTAAGACATGTATCATGTAATTTTAAGTCAATGATGCACAAAACATTTTTTAGCATATTTGTTTATGATTTTTTAATCTTTGATTGGTTAATTTCCGTACTTATTTTTACCTTATTATTATTTTTTTTAATAGCACCGGCATTTCAATGTTATATAAAATTTAGTTTGAGCTCATAAGCCTAAAACTTTATAAATTAATTTAATTTTTTATACTTTTTTTTTCTCCAAAAAAACAACGTAAAAAGTGACTTGGGCACATGAAATAATTTATTAAGTTATTCCACTTGTTCTCGAAAATACATTTTAAAGTATTATCCGTTGAATCCTTCTTCTAGAAGTCTATATTGCTCTGTTTCAACTCATTAGGATAAGATATGACTATAATAAAATATATGGAAGGTTTAATATCTAAAAATTAATAATATATTCTAAATTATATTTAAGCTAAATAGTACTTAAATAACTTACTACAAGTTACGTTCGATTTGAATTATTCTATTTTTTCTTTATTATTTGAAAACATATTGTTTGGTTGTAGGAAAAATTGAAGAATTTTCTGAAACAACACTTACAATGTAAAACAGAACTAATATTTGCAGCCGCAATAACATAATCTTTATAGACATATTGTAATGGAATTCGAATAAGGTGTCTCTAACTTATGTAGTGGCACATGACACAAACATATAAATAAATAAAAAAAGAAAAAATATCTTTTTACATTTACCTATTTGTTTGAATGTTCAAATTATTCCGCTCTATTAAACCATATACATGTATTCTTCTTGATTTTATCGGTTTGATATTAGGTTGAGATTATGTTTAGCCATTAAACAATATTGTAATATATCTGTATACTTTATAAATTAAAACCGAGCATCGGATCCATATTATGGTTTACATAATATTTTATTGGGTTTTAATAGTATTTTAACGCGGCATCATTCAACAATTTCAATTTTTTTCATTTAATGATCACATTGTCTTTCATATATAATTATAAAACCATGTTTATTTACCCGGTTCATAAAATGCAAAAAAAAAAAAAAATTAAACAATATTTATAATTTTCATTTATTCTAGTGAGAACTTAAGAACACGTTTTTATCTTTTCTACCATCTTTTGACTAAATAGGGCCTTCAAGGTGAGCGAACTTTTTCTTCTAATCCTACCCTCAGCCCGCGACCAGGGTTGAATAAGTTCATGCCATCGAAGTGCAGCAACACCGGATGTGCGATGAAAAAGAAACTCTTGATGATATCTCAAGCAGAAGACTACCGAATCTTGTGTTGGCATTCGAAGAAGAAATACGGCATTCGACTAATAAAAAATGATCTTTATAAATTTGAGATATTGGAAAGATAGATTGAGGTATTAAAAATAGTACATTCTGTTGTGTGATTAGAAATTTGAACTCAAAAGAATTAGATATTTGTCTTGAGAAAGTATCCATCAAATTGTAATTTAATATATTATATTTAAAATTTATTATTGATTATAACAGTGAATTAATTGATATAATTTAATAAAACTGAATGATTTATGTTTTTTAAAAGATTATTTGTAACAATTCTAAAGAAATCTGTCCCATATTTTATGAAAACTTGATCTGGAAAGATGGAATGATCTGGAACAATTATAGACTAACTATTTTTTTGAAATGGAGATATTTATCTATTTTATTTTCTTCTTTAACATCTTAATAATCGTAAAAATAATTTGTTATAAAATTTGACATTCAAATCTGAACCATAACTATCCCTTTTTAGATAGTTCAGGAGAAATGACTGAAGCTTGTAGTCTTGTGTTTAGATTGTTTCACACAGGTGTATTCCTTTAATAAGGTATACAAATATCTAACTTTATTGCATTATTTATTAAAAGGGAGAATATTTGTTTAATACAGTTATCCGGTAAAATGTTTTTATTAAAACGATAGCTCTTGTCTTTCTGTATTTCTTAGGATATTTAGAATAAGTTGTTTCTTACCGCCTTCTCCAACCAGTTAATTCCAAATGTTTTCTTCTGTTCTCGCTTCAGTGGAAACTATTTCGGTTGTTATTTTATATATCCGCATAGGTAAAAAAACATCGTATAATTGTAAAATGAATACGAATATCAAAAATAAATAAAAAAATTATAAGTTATTAAAATTAAATGTTTTAAATAATTTGAAGGAATTATGGAACATTCTAAATTAAAATAGATATATTAAACATATTCTTACAATTTAATTAAATTAATTAAATTAAAAACGCAAATAAAATAAGCTCTCAAACGTTTCCTCGACTCATAGACCATCATATTTTTTTTAAACAGTAAAAACCTTCTTAATGTTTACCTTCTAATTTATAATATCTTTATACAATAAACGTGTCACTCCATTTAAATAACAAATATTATCAAATCAAATTAGCCCCTTGATCCATTGGTGATGTCGCGCAATAATATCCTCAAAGAAACATAGTGACTATCAACTCAAATATAAAAATAAAGAAATCAAAATTAATTGATTTTGTTTGATTTTTCAAATGAAACATATTCATATTACTTAATTATGTTAGATTTTTTTATAAACTTTGAAAAATAATTTAGGTATCATATTAGTATAATATGTCCTCGCGCGGGCTCATTACCGCGTATGGGGAGCGTCCCACGGGTGGCGGATGTGGGGATGGTCGGTGGAAATTCCTTGGAAGTTCCTCCCGGCTAAGTCCGATGGACTCGCTGACCAACAATGAGAGGGGCCCTCCAGACTTGCTGGAGGGAGGGGACCTCCAGACTTGCTGGAGGTAGGGGCCCACCAGACTTGCTGGAGGGTGTGACGTAGGATTGAACGCCCTACTCACATATCTTTAGTTCACCAAACACCACAAAAAGTCATGGATCTTCCTAAGGTAAAACGCTCATTATCCGGAAGTAAACTAGTCCCCCGTTCGGGTCTCCGGGTGGGGACTGCTTTAGGGGATTCATGGCGCAAGATGAAATATAGGGATTTAATTATTGGTACGTGGAACGTAAGGAGTTTAAACACAGCAGGGGGGCTAAAATCGGTCGCGAATGAGGTAAATGGGTACAATTTGGATGTCGTGGCTCTGCAAGAGGTTCGCTGGCCAGGGGAGGGCTCGATGAGGGATGGAAAGTACACTATTTGGTACGGAGGAAGCGTGAATCATTGTTTAGGTACCGGGTTTCTAATTAGGCGTAGATTACTATCCGCTTTGAGGGACGTACAATTCTTTAGTGATAGAATTTCGGTAGCTACATTTCAGGGACGTTGGTTTAAAATCGCATTAATAAACATACATTGTCCGACCGAAGACAGTGACGATGAAGTCAAAAGTGAATTTTACGATAAACTCGAATGGGTTTATGATAAACTACCACGAAACTACATGAAAATAATTGTAGGTGACGCGAACGCAAAGGTAGGAAGGGAAGAAGTTTATATTCCGACGATTGGTAAAGAAAGTTTGCACGAATATAGTAATGATAATGGGATCCGTCTGATCAAATTTGCCATCTCGAAAAACCTGATAATTAAAACTACGACGTTTAAACATAAGGATATTCATAAATATACTTGGACATCACCGGATTCGCAAACACGAAATCAAATCGATCATGTCTTGATACAACACAGCTGGCAAAGTAGTATAATTAATGTACGGTCTTATCGCGGAGCAGAATGTGGGTCGGATCATGAATTAGTAATCGCGAAACTTCGACAAAAACTTAATATAAAAAAGAGAAAAGAAAACCGTTTCGATTTTGAGAATTTTAATTTGGAAAAATTAAAAAATCCATCAATTAGAAACCAATTCGAGCTAGATGTTAAGAATAGGTTTGAAGCTTTAGAGCTTCCTGACGAGGACCACGAGGATATTGACAAGTTATGGGTAGAGATCAGGGATAATATTAAAGCGGTCGGTAACTCGTGTCTAGGAAAAAAGGAAAATAAGAATAACAAACCGTGGTTTGATGAAGATTGCTTAAACATGTGCGAAAAAAGAAAAGCCGCTAAATTAAAAGCTCTAAATAATCCTAGCGAAGATAATCTGGAATACTTCCGAATCTCAAAGAACGAAACGACAAAATTGCTCAAAAATAAAAAAAAGGAGTATCTTAAAAATAAAATAATTGAAATAGAAACTAATAGAATCCAAAATAACGTAAGAGACATGTACAAAGGTATAAACAGATCACGTAAATATGTAGGGCCCGTAACGTCTGGAATTAGGGATGATAATAACAATATTCTGACCGATCCGGTTGACATATTGAATAAGTTTAAGGACCACTTTGACAATATTTTAAATACGGGAAATTATGATCTGTGTCCTCCTTCTGAGTACCAGAGTGCTGAACCGTTAATAGAAGGACCAAGTAAAGAGGAAGTTGAAGTAGCTATCGGAAAATTAAAATCATATAAAGCAGCGGGAATCGATAATATTCCTACTGAACTAATTAAGGCATGCGGGGAAGCTGGAGTTTCTAAAATACATCGGTTGGTTAAAAAGATCTGGGTGAACGAGAAATTACCTGAAGAATGGAAAGAATCTATTCTTATTCCGATTCACAAAAAGGGTCCGAGGACGGATTGTAATAACTATCGAGGAATTTCACTCCTTCCGGTATGTTATAAAATATTCACTTTAATCTTAACCAGTCGAATCACGGAATACGCCGAGGAAATTATCGGAGACTACCAATGCGGATTTAGACGGAATCGTTCGACAATTGATCAAATATTTTCTTTACGGCAAATATTAGAGAAAAAATTGGAGTATAACGGTGTTGTTCACCAGCTGTATATAGATTTTAAAAAGGCGTACGATTCTATTGACCGCCAGAAACTGTATAATATTCTAATCGAGCAGGGGATTCCAAAAAAACTAGTAAATCTAGTCAGGATGTGCTTGACGGAGACACTCAATAAAGTTAGAATCGGTAATAATTTGTCCGAAAAATTTGAGGTTCGTTCGGGCTTGAAACAGGGGGATTCTCTTTCGCCTGTCCTGTTCAATTTGGCATTAGAACATGCCATTAGGGAGGTAATGCGAACCGAGAAAGGGTTGGATCTGGGCGAGACAACATCCGTGCTGGGCTATGCTGATGATCTGGTACTGCTAAGCGAAGACGTTGAAACTATAAAACTAAATACGACAACGTTAATGAAAGCCGGTAAAGAACTAGGACTCGAAATAAACGTGGATAAAACAAAATATATGGTTAGCTGCAAAAATGGCGATACTACTGGTGATATCGATATAGATGGTAATATGTTTGAACAGGTAGATAAATTTAGGTACCTAGGTTCTACGATAACTAGAAAAAACGAAATTGAAGAAGAGATTAAGGTTAGACTGAAGGCGGGAAATGCTTGTTATTTTTCTGTGACAAAACTACTTAGTTCGCGCCTCTTGTCCCGAAACTTAAAAATTAGAATCTATAAAACAATTATCTTGCCTACAGTTCTTTATGGATGCGAAACTTGGCCGCTTACATTAAGGGATGAGCAGCGTCTTAAGGTTTTTGAAAATAAAGTATTGCGTAGAATATTCGGACCGAAGAAGGATGAGTTAACCGGAGAGTTCAGACGGTTACACAACGCCGAATTGCGTGAGCTGTATCCGGGTAATATAATTGAGGTAATTTCATCGCGGCGAATCAAATGGGCTTGTAAAGTTGTTGGGCTTAGTAACGAGAGAATTCCTAAAAGGTTAATATTTGCTGTGCCGAATGGTAAGCGTCCGAGGGGTAGACCGAAGCGAAGGTGGGAAGATTGCATTAAAGCCGATCTGAAGGGACTGGGTTTGGACGGCGAACGGTGGAGGGAGTTGTGTAACAAGCGATTGATGGTGTCGGCATCGAACCTTCGGGTTCGCTAAGCCTTATTATTATTATTATTATTAGTATAATATGTATGACCATTATAAATTAAACCGTTGAATATATTATTTTACTATTATTTATTGTTGGTAGTATCGAATCATTTGAAAGTTAGACAACATTTTATAAATTGTACCTATTCATTTTAAATTATGTTTAGCATTACGAAAGACAATGTTTAAAAGGACATATTGCAATAAAATTGGACCATTTTTATTATAGAATAAGAAAACTTATCATTTTCAATTTCTTTTCTAGCTAAGTCATTAGATTTCTTTTTTATCATTCGCACTCTTCAGTAGAACAAATATATATTTATTTGAATGGTAATTACCTTATGTTGTAGATATGCATTATGGCTGGGTTCGAAAAAATTAAACTTCATATGATTAATAAATTTATTTCCAAAACCTAAATTTTTTTTTTATTACTTGATATTTACAACTGTATTATAAAAAAAAAAATACAACTAGTAAATGT